ATGCAGCCACGCCTACCCGATCTCAGGGATTTCGAGTATACAGGGGGGGGGCAAAAAAAAAAGTCATTCCGGCCGAGTCACATATGAGCGAAGTTTTCGCAGCCCAGACAGAGGAAGTGGATATGAGTACCAGGGCGGAAGATACCCAAGATCTTCCTCTATAAGCAGGAGCCGGCTGCCGCCATTCACCTTCATGTACACCAAAATATGAAGTCATCTCCAGTCGCGGCCTGAGTGGAGAACGCCTTTGGAATTCACGTGGCCTCCAAACAGCTGCGGAACTTCTTGAATGGAATCACCCATGGATAGCTACCTGGAGACCAGTACTCTTGATCTGCAAGACCTCAAACATCGAGCAGCTCCGGCAACGTCGCTACGGTCCAGGACATCATCTTCACCCCATTCACCAAGGCGCGGGTTGATGGTATGGACCGGGGTACCTGGAAAGGGGAAGACCGATATTTTCTTTGTAGACCCCGACTGAAGGTGAGCGCTGGCGGTTACATCAAGTAACTCGAGAAGAATATCCTCCCTACATGTGGTCGCCGTACCTTCTTGGAGACCTTGTGCTGCTACAGGTTTGGGTGCCACCACATGGAATCAAAGGGTTTTGGAAAAACTCCCGCCTACTCGGAATGGAAGAACGTTGAGTACCTGGAAAAGATCTAGTATTTAAGCGGGGGTCCTGAACTAAACCCCCTCAATTTACCGGTCGGCGGAGCTCAACAGGGTGGTCTACAGTGGCGGAGAAATCAACGATCTCGCTCAACTCCGGTACCCACTCACTTTCGCGCGGCCGAATCTCTCGATGGCGCTCCTCCAGAAGGCTGTGGCGGAGTATATTTTAATGTGCTCTTTAATATGGTAGTAAAAATGTCCGATAAAAATTTAATAAAGTGTAACTTATAGCGCCTTGAAAGTCATGGAGGCAAAATGACTTTTTTTTGCCCCCCCCCCCTGTATATGCCGTGTTGGATGGTAGCGCGCCCTACACCCAGCCATGCAGGTGAGATGTGGTTGATCGCTCTGGGTCCTTTGCAGCGGCTTGCCAGTTCGCATTACCACGCTGGACCATCAGCATGGCCAACAGACACAGTCTCGAGTAAAAGTCGGGCCTTTGAGGGCAGTTCCCCTGTGCTCTATTTCGGACTCACATGCCCGTTCCTCAGCCAGAACCTTCGTAAGTGACTGACTTCTTCACCCAATCAGTCGTAGAAAGAGTCGAGAGCTTGATGCTCCCTTCTGGAGCTTTGTCAGCTATATACATTTGCTGATTGACCGCAAGCGATGATTACTGTAATTCTCTGGGAGGCATGGGTCATCTCCCACAAAAAAACGCAGCTTCTCCTGTTGCAGCCCATCAAAGACTCGAGCTGGAGCGTGAGTGGAGGTAATCTCTCATCCTAATATGGTGATCTAGATTTTCTGAGGTCAGGCTGCTGCGTAGAACTAGGAAAATTTGAAATCCCAATTTATAGGAACCTAGTGCGACTTAAACTTCTTAAGAAACAAGCGAAGCTGTTGTAGTCTTTCCGAACAAAGCCACTATTTCCACCGCCTGGTTCACGAACGTTTCTACGTATTCCCCCCCCCCCCCCCCCCCCCCCCCCCCCCCCCCCCCCCCCCCCCCCCCCCCCCCCCCCCCCCCCCCCCCCCCCCCCCCCCCCCCCCCCCCCCCCCCCCCCCCCCCCCCCCCCCCCCCCCCCCCCCCCCCCCCCCCCCCCCCCCCCCCCCCCCCCCCCCCCCCCCCAAAAGCAATGCAGAACAATATGGCAAAGAAACTTCTTGTTTTCAAGCCTCGTGGGCTCCGGGCGAGCACTAACTGAAAGTTCCCCTAGTGTATATTTAGGACTCAATCTTCTGCTCATGCGAAGGCACTGCCAATAGAACTTTCCATAGAAACCCCGCAATTCATTTGTTGCACATAATCTACGCTCCAAAACTGCGGTTCGTGACACAACGAGCACATGACGCGAGAAAGGGCGCTCTATTGCCGTTTAAAGGTCGCATCGCACCGTGATACTCAGGCTACCGTAATGTGCACATTCACGTTTTGAATCCTATTTCTTTTAGGATTTTTACGTTTCTTTTGATCTTCCTGTGCACATAGTTTTGTTCCTTTAGTGGTTTTGAACGAGAACGAATGAATAGAGATTCTGTGGTAAAGGTGGTTGCTTTTGATTTCACTCCTAGTTCTTTCCTTGTGCTTTTCACTCATTAGGAACAGCTTCAGCTGTTTAGCATTTCATTCGTTTCTTCCAGTTCTTGCGCTGAATCAGTGAAACACCTTAGTTCATTTGGGTCCGACGAAGAATTTTCTATCCCTTTCTGCCCAATTTAGCTTTGCTTTTCTTTTCTTCGCGTGAAATTGAGTATTTTAACATTTTGGGGTAAAGTTCTGTTTAAGAAGTGCTTTGTTTTATGATGATGGTTACAGCCTCGGATTTGGATGTTTTTATACTTTCGCAAGTTCTTTTTGCAAGTTTCATGTTATTTAACAGGTCTTACCTTGGTAATATTTAAAAACTCTTGTAAAGCTGCGTAATGGTACAAGTGTATCACAGTGGTTACAGGAATTTACAAGTCTTGACAAATTAGCTTGTTCTGACTCCGTTGAGTGGCCATTTAGTGCCCCAAATGATTATCGGTCGTAGACAACTTACTAATTCAATTATTGATCTGTTCATACCTTACGGCAGTAAAAAACTGACGAATTGGGATATAGATCGATATGTATCTAATCCTTTTCGTCAGTTCTTAACTGTCGCAAGGTATGGACACAGCTTGATTTTCCTTTTTTTGCGTATTCAAAAGGAAGTGTGACAATTCGTATGGTGTCTTTTGTTTAAGAATTATTACACGTGACTTCAACGAAGACCTTGATCTCATTTCTGCATGTGTTATCTCAGAAAGCTTGAGGTAGTAATTCCACGGGCGCGTCGTGCGGGGCAATTTTCGTTTTCGCTACTCCTCATTTTTGCTACTCTCGACGTCGAGCTGTGAAATGGAGACCTGTGAAATCTTGTTAAGCCCCAAAATGATACCGGCATAAGTTTGTAGAGACCACCTGACCCCTGTCAACTTTTCGAATTCATGTTGGAATTCATCAGAATTCATCTCATGAGCTTACAAGAGTTAACAGGTTTCACCAGTATGAGACTTGTAAGCCGGAACTAGTGAAGCAGCGAAAGTGCGAAATGCCCCCTTCCTGGTCGCAGAACTACGCCTAATTTCACTTTTGGTTTGGTTTTGAACGCGGTTTTATTTTGTAACCACATTGCTATGACTTTGCCCGTGTTTTATTCTGGTGAAAACTTCTACCCCTTTGCCTTATCCGTTTTTTTTTCAGGGTAGAATGGGTCTCCACAATAAGCCCATAATCATCGACGGTAAGGATCACCTCCTCGGACGTTTGGCTTCTATCGTTGCCAAGCAGCTCCTTCAAGGCGAGAAGGTTGCCGTATTGCGATGTGAGGAAATCGCCATCTCTGGAAATTTCCACCGATCAAAACTGAAGTACATGAGCTTCCTCCGCAAAAGATGTAACATCAATCCCGCTCGCGGTGCCTTCCACTATAGATCTCCCGGAAAGATTTTCTGGAGACTGTTCAGAGTTAGTGACTTCCTTATTTCTTCTCTTTTGTCGGGACCTATCTCAGTTTCATAAGTTCATCAGTAAATGTAATGATTCTCGAGTAGTCATTCTGTTCTGACAAGCGAATTGAGACCAGATCGATTTTAGATCCTTCAGAGTGCAGACAAAAATTTTAGCCCCAGAGAAGGACTCATTACATCCGCTTTATGTTAACTGCTGGTGTGCTAACCACATCAGCCGTGAATTTTCTTGTTGTCATTCCCTGCTTGAAGGGCAGTTGGCCACGATCGAAATCCACAAGACGGGAAGGATTGATTCGCCTGGCAGGAAGTGAATCCGCACCGTTGAGCCAGGCGCTCATAATGCCTTCTAAGGGGAGGTGCCTATAAGAGCTCTTAGCCACAACATACCGACCAAACGCCCACCGCCACGCCCACCTCGCCGCCACCGCCCACAAATGGACGACCGTTCCTGACGCTTCAACCGATTCATTTGTCAAGCAAATTGTGAAGCGAAGGGATTGGTGTGAAGTACATATATGCAACGTTACTTCGTAGCGTTATGGCCAAGGATGCCTGCAGGAAACTCGTCCAAAAATGATTTATAACACATTGAGAACGGAGGCTCCTTCTTCGCAGGATTTCACTTCGTTCTTTCGCCATTTCCCCACTATATAGCGCCCTACTAGCATTTTAGGCCGAGCACCAAATCATCATGCCAACTGCCTTTAAGCATTGTTCACAGTCTGCGAACCTGTGTTTTTTCGCGGAAGAGACTTCGCGAAAAGCCTTCTGATACGTATCAACTGGCGGTTCAGCGGAAGCGTTTGGCAAAATACTACCTCGACTGCCCTGGAATTTTCGCTCGGGCTGAGTCTGCGAAATCGATGCTCATCTAACCGATCTTTTCGCAGAAGCGCCGAACCGCGCTGGTTTCTCCAGAGCGGTTGACGATTCTCCGATCGATTCCTATTTATTGGCTTTTCGCCGAATCTCCGATTCGTCAGGGTCGCAGACTGTGAACAATGCCTTAGCTGTTTCTTGCCATAATTTTTCAGCAGCACGTTACAAGGCCGCAATCCTAAAAACATGCTCAGAATTCACTAGGGCAAGTAAGGGGGTGTCAAAGAATGCGCCAGCCATTTTGATTTACTGAGTGCTACTCTGATCCTTGAAAGATATTGTCTAAAGTGGAGTTTTGCAGCAGCAGATGGTGGGATACTGATTTTGTTTCTTAGTATTCGTTTCTGCTATTCCTTTTAAGAGGTCGTTTTCTCTGAAGTGATTTTTGCATCAGCAAGGCAAAATATGTGACTCTTACATCGAATACTTAAATTCTAATTGCGCGGTTTCATTCCACAGGGCACGCGGGAATGTGTTGTACTGACTTTCAACGTAAAAATCGTAAAGCACGAGTTTCTATGCGGTGTAGCAGTGGTAGTATAAGCTGTTGTATGTAAGATAACATTCTATTGAAGAAAAATTCCAAACGTGAATCTTTTGTCTCTCTCTTGATAACTGAACAAAAAAAAAAAGTTCGAGCAACGCGACGGTGTTTCCCAGTCCAGATAAACGCGCGAACGATCCGTGCCTGCCAATTGGTAGGTGTGTAGCTGTCGATTTTCATTTTCGTGCGAAGTCCCCGTACGTGTAACTCATTTGGTTTCTGAATACTCAGGAAAATAGTAGTATGTCTGGATATTTTCCTTTTTCATTTATGAGTGGAGATGGTGTATAGGCAAGTGTCAAAAAAATTATGAATAGTCTTCCATTCGGGCCATCCATTTACATTTTGACACCTCCCTTTTCGATAATGCGGTCAGAATTTACAGACTTTTTCCAGTTGGTAAGCGTCGTGCGCTAGACCTTTGGGATAACGGTTATACCTGTACTTGCCTTAGGCGCAGAAAACGCTGGCACATGCGAAAAAAAATAAGGAGATTCAGTCCATAAAGTATAGGAATAAGGCATTTCCATTTCCAGTTGTGATGATTTTTACCTATGAGGTCGAAGAACCTTTGAGTAACAATTTTTAGCAACATCCTAGGCGAGTATTTCGTTCAAGTTCTATTCTGGTAAATATGCCACGAATTCTCTTCCACTGTTAGGTGACGCTAGTTCAAAAGAAGCTGAATCTTTCAGTGAGATCCCTCAGCAGTTCGAAGGGAGACCGAATGATGAAACAAAGAAATGCCTTCGAGGACAGTACCGGTTTACAGTCTATGGTTGCTGCTCCTTTGTCTGCGACGCACTTATTTCTGTATTTTTATCAATAATGTTCGACCCTTACTGGAGTTGCGTCGGCATTATGCTGCTACGAACAATTCCTGAGAATGAAATTAATTGATATAGACACGACATTCTTGAATGGAAGTAATTGAAATAGATAACTTTTGATGATAACCACCTGAAAAACTCATCTGTTGCTCTCTTTTCAATCTCTTGTGCAGTCGACAATAGTAATGGTATCTAAGTCAAAATATTCGCCAAGTACGTGCGAAGAACTCTGTATGTAGGTGGCAACTGAAGTTCGAATTTTTTCGAATTGGTTTGCTGAAATGAGTGATTCAAATGTTGTTGTTCAGGAATGCTGCCCCACAAGACTCCTCATGGAAATTCGGCTTTGAAGAATCTCAGAGTGTACGAGGGTGTTCCAAGCGCCTATGATCGCGTTAAAAAGATGAATGCACCAGTTGCTAACCGACATCTCTGCCTGAAGCCACGACGCAAGCACTGCACAGGTGAGTCACGGTGTATCCAAATCAGCTATTTTCATCTGTTGACTTTAGTATAAAATGTAATCTCACTATAGTTGGCCGCCTTTCTCACGAAGTCGGATGGAAGTACCAGGATGTTGTGGCCAAACTCGAGGCTAAGCGAAAGGTGAAGGGAGCAGCTTACCACGATCAGCAAAAGAAGCTCGATAAGTTGTATGAACAGGTCAGCCACTTCTCTTTACTTGCTCCTTCTTTCCTGAAGATTATCCCTGGACTTCCAAATGGTTGCTTATTACTTCGTTATGGTATAAAATTGCTTTTTGAACTTTGAGGGTCAGCATTCAAATTGAATTCGCTGTATTTGAATGATACCCCCGTTACTTTATTAGAGCTTGGTGCAACCATTCCTGAAAGGAAGTCTTTGTTCGATAAGTAGTGGCGCTGCTTTTCGAGTGGATAACCGTTTGAAGACAAACGCTGAGATTGTATACTGTGCATAGTGGCGCTAAGTTACAAACCAGCAGTCCCTAAATCTCCAGGGAAGAAAAAAAAAGCTCTAAAAAACCCATGGAGAGCGCCCTGTGTAGAAACCGGTAGCCTCCTTGGACGAGTTCTCCGGATCTGCTCGATTTAAGGCAGCAAATGGATTTTCTGCCGCTGACTCACTAATCGTTTGTTCGCTCCATCCAGTGCTAACAACATCTAACAGTGAAAAAAACGAAAAGCATGGTGTTAAAAGTGAACTCATGACAGAAAATAACTTGGGGTTTTGGTGGGCAGGGCAAATAAAGAGGCGGCAGAATTTCCATTATGAGCGCCGCAACGCCTGCATTCGTCACTTACTGTGAAGCCGCGATAGAGGGATAATCTTAGAAACTGAGGGTCAGACTACTTGTACAAGGAAGGACGTGTACGAGTAGAGCGCGAGGACTGTCTTTAAACACTCGTTTTCCACTTTTCCAGTAAAGTGAGGAACTTCAGTGCAGTAGTTGTCCTTTTACACAGAGGAATCATTTTGCCCGACGAGGCTCCTTCGACCATAATCCAAACTGGAAATCGTGGCCCCAATTGGTCGTGGTGATAAGCACCTCATCCTTCACTGCCATAATTTT